GTTGTTTTTCTTTAAAATCATGCTTCTTTAGTTTTTTTAGCGTGCTCTGGCTTACGCCAGCTTGATGTACGAGACCACCGCTGTGTTGTCGGTGCGCACCAACACATGATGGCCTCTGAGGTCTGGGAAGAAGTGTTTCAGTGCTCGAAACATGGCCAACATCTCCAGGCAGTTGATGTGCCACATGAGATGGCGGCCGTTCCACAGACCGCGGGCAGGGTGGCCACTCATGACTGCACCCCAACCGGTGAGGGATGCGTCCGTCGTTAACGTTACGCAACGACAAGGAGCTCCCAGTACCGGGCCCTGTGACAAGAACCAAGGTTTCCTCCACATGTCTAACGCACGAAAGCATCTCCGCGTGATCGTGATCATACGAAGCGGATTTCCCCTCAGGGAAAACCCCTTGGTCTTGAGACACCACTGTAGGGGTCTCATGTACAGCAGGCCAAAAGGTATCACGTTGGACGCAGCTGCCATCAGACCCAGCAGTTTTTGAAACTGCTTTACAGTGAGTGACCGGCCTTCTCTGACTCTCACGACTACAGTAAGGATCGACTCGATCCGAGCAGTAGATAGCTGTGCCTGCATCGTGGTCGAATCCCACACCACACCCAGATAAGTGGTCCTCTGTGATGGAGAAAGCACACTTTTCTTGGAGTTTAGTCTTAACCCCAATTCTTTCATATAGACAAGAATGACATCTCGATGCCGAACCACTGACTGCTCCAATTGAGCTAGAATCAACCAATCGGCGATATAATTGAGTATGCGGATGCCCTGGAGTCGCAGTGGAGCCAGAGCAGCATCCACGCACTTTGTGAAAGTTCGGGGTGAGAGTGCAAGGCCGAACGGAATAACCCGATACTGGTAAGCTTCGCCCGAAGCAAAAAGGATTGCGGTTCTTGAAACAAAGTTACTTGCTGGACTTCCAAATAGGGCTGGGTATCGTTCAAAATTTTCCGATACCGATACCGATACCTTGACTTCGATACCGGTTCCTGAACGATACTTTTTTCGATACCAATTTTATGAAATCAATTTTAACAAGATTACATTATCTAACAAAAAAACTTTGGTTTTATTTTTCAGCTTGTTGATGTTTATACAAACTCAAAGACTCATCTCCTGAGCCACTGCACAAAGGAACAAAATTTAACCAACACAATAAATCAGTGCAAAACAGTTTTAATAAAGCTCAAATAGTCTTCAGTTTACACATCTGTTAGGCTACATTAACCCCTTAGGTATCGAAATTTGGTACCGAACGACGAGACGTTTTTCGATACTCGATGGTATCGAGGCAATTCGGTCGGTGCCTAAAAAGTATCGAACTCGATACCCAGCCCTAGTGACGACAGGACTTCATATCAGCTTCCGAGTGATCATGTGGTTGACACATCCCACAAGGACACTGATAACACCGCACAGCCACAACAAACACTGCTCATGGAAACTATCCCGGCTGAGCCCTGCCCACAGAGCTCATCACAGACAGACTGTGACGTATCAGAACAGCTCCAAGACTCAGCACCCAAGGACGACTTTCTGGAAAACAGCCAGGGAAGCCAGGACAACATATTTCAGCCACGCTAGAGCCCCGCTCACCAGACACATTATTCCTCTCTCCAACATCTCCACTTCTAAGCTTCTCACAGAAAATGGAGGAACTGGTTTATGCTGGGACCAAACTCTCTCACTCCTTCGCTGCAAGCCCCCAGATATCAACTAAAAAACGGCGAGCCCCACAACCACCAAAGCCTGTGGTCTCAGCTCGACCTCCTCCTCCCGTGAGAGCTTTCCGGCCGCTGCCACAACGCCAGGGCCCAAACCCTCCATCTGCTGTAGGTGAACAAAAAACAACTGATAACAGCTCTCAGTGATATGTGTCGGGTCCCTGCTATAATAGCAGCAACATTCACAAATGTTTACAGAACAAGCGGGAACCCAGTGTGCCTGTAGTTTTCTCTATTTCTGTTTTATCACGTGATAGAAAGTCTAAGGCCTTCTTAAGCCGTACGGCTGACTTATCTAATCTGCGGCCTGTTATGCATCAAACTAATATTGCTGTTGAGACAAAATGCAATGCCATCAAGTTAGCATTTTTAAACATTCGCTCACTAAAAAATAAATCATTTCTAATCAATGACTTAATAACCACAAACAACCTGGATTTTATGTTTCTAAATGAAACCTGGCTAGAAAACAGCTGCAGTGCAACGGTCCTCAATGAAATAGCCCCTACTAACTTTATTTCATGAGTGTTTGCAGGACTGTTAGGAGAGGTGGGGGTGTAGCTGCTCTAATTAAAGATGTCTATCAATGCAAGCAAGTGTCATTTGGTCAGTACTTGTCTTTTGAGTATCTAGGGATTGTGTTGAAAGGTGCTCCATGCATTCTGTTTATCATTATTTACAGGCCTCCAAAATACTCTCCAGCCTTGGCTGAAGAGTTCACAGAAATGCTTTTAAATTCCTTGTTTTATTGTTTTTTTTTATTATTATTTTCTTTTCTTTTATGTAAAGCACTTTGAATTACCATTGTGTATGAGATGTGCTATATAAATAAACTTGCCTTGCCTTGCCCCCGAAAACAAACCTCAGGGACTTCCTGTGTTGAGAAAGGATGGGGACATGGAAGTTTGCATCTTTTAGATCAATTGTGACAAACCAGTCCTCGGACCTGATCTGAGACACCACTTGCTTGAGTGTGAGCATCCTGAACTTCAGCCACATGACTGAGCGGTTCAACTGACACAGATCTAAAATGGGATGAAACCTCCCATCCTTCTTCGGAACAATGAAGTACCTGCTGAAGAACCCGGACTCTCTGTCGAGAGAAGGGACCACCTCGATGGCCTCCTTCCTCAAGAGAGTTTTTACTTCTTGTTCTAATATCAGAGCCTGCTTGGGACCCACCAGGGTGGGAACGATCCCGTTGAAACGAGGCGGTGGAGAACCGAACTGAATTCTGTAACTCTACAGTCAGCAGGACCCAACGTGAGATATTCGGCAGAAGTTTCCACGCTGCCAGGAAATCTACTAAGGGAATCAATCTCTCGAAACTGACCTCCGGTGTAACAGGAGCGGCCCGTTCGGTGCCCTGAAATGATGGACTGGCAGAGAATGACCGAACTAGCCACTCTGGAGACGTCCTCAGAGGTAGCGAGCCTCCCAGAACCGCTACGTTTCCAGGCGGACCGGTGGTGGCAGGGTTAACAGCGTGGCCTCCTGAGGGCACTGAGGAGAGACGGGCACCGTGTAGTGAGGTGTACACCGCGCTTCCCCAGTGGGGGCTGCCCTCAGAAGCCCTGGAACACGACCATCAGAGCTACTTGGTAGAAGACTTCTTAGCGAGTAGGACGGTCCTCAGATTCGGCTTCGAAGCCTTCGACCGTGAGCTAATTTTTTTTAGCTAAAGCTTTTGCGCCTCTCTGTATGAGGAGCAGGCACACGGTTGGGGCTGCTCCCATCCAGCACCCCCATGAGCTAGAGAGCGGCGAGGCAGGAACTGCTGAAACACTCCCGCTTGTTTACAGACCTCCTGAAACCTGTCGATGACGGAGTTGACGGCGTCGCCGAACAGGCCAGAAGGCGCAAGCGGGGTGTAGGGGAGGAATACACTGTCTTTTCAATCTCAGACAGGGTCAACCAAAGATGCCTCTCCGCGGCCACTAAGGCTGCCATAGACCGCCCTGTTGCTTTGGCGGTCTCTTTCGTGGTGCGGAGAGACAGATCAGCGGTTCGACGAAGTTCTTTAATATCGTCAGCCTTAACTTCCTCGCCCTCATCCAGCTCTTTCAGCAGGTCTGCTTGGTAGGCTTGTAGTACTGCCATGGTGTGAAGGCAAGCACCAGCCTGACCTGCTGCCGTGATGTAGTACAGCTTAGACTGTAAAAAAACGCTCATCTAATTTGCTCTTTGTCAGTTCAGCCTACTTCTCTGCGGGCCTCTCAAGATTTAATTTGGCTACTGCGCGAGTTATCACCTCCACAAGCTCCTCATACTGGGCGGATTGAGGGGACTCATCGACGCCCTCAATATCGCCCTCCCTTCGGAGGACGACAGCCTGAGCATCGAGCCCTTTCCCCGGGGGGAAGAAACTGCAGAGCGTGCTTCCAATCCCTAGGAGGGGGCACTGGATCTGGAGGTTGAGGAAGAAGAAAGGGACTCGCCCGTCTCCATTCCTTCTGCTAGATCCATTTGCGATTCCCATGACCGCCGCCGCCGCTCTGCCTCCTCGAAGAGAGCCCTCCGGGAGCGAAGTGTCCGCAGCGAGAGGAGCTCGCAGTGCAGACAGTCAGCCCCCTCGAGAGCTGACTCAGCTTGCTTCGCTCCCAAGCAAATAAAGCAAAGGCTGTGTGTATCCCCACCCGTGATGTAACGAGGGCAGGGAGGAACACACAGCTTAAACTGATGTTTACTTTTATCATCGCACTTATTAGATTTCTGCTTGGGAGTTTGGCATGCTTATATCTTTGGGGATAGTGACAGACAACTGTAAATAAGACATACATACACAGAGCGCTTCGCTGAATGACAGAAGCTGCCTCTGTTTCCACCGCACGTGCTTTTATAGCTTCCTGGTCACTACGTCACCCCGTCCATGACGTCTCGCCCATTCATTGGACTGATTACATGCATGATTCAGAGTGTGGTCATGCTGAAGGCGTTCCCAAAGCATCTCGACGCAGCTCGAGTTCCTGAAGGGGAACTTAAGCTTTCACAACATTTATTCAATTATACATTAAATAATGAAAACAACAGGTCAAGTATAATGAATATGTAGTGCATGTATTGGACATATAGTGTGTATATTTATAAAAAAAAAAATGTATTTAAAGTTTTTTTTTCTTTTCTAGTTGACTAGCTATAGATATTTAATGGTTTTGGTGGAATTATTATTTTAAGAAAAGAGATTACTAGATATGATGTCAATGCTAGAAATGATTTTGCAACAGTCTGAAAGCAGTTCTAACATCAATCCCTCTTGTTTTTCAGATGAAAGAGACCGAGTCCAGAAAAAGACTTTTACAAAATGGGTAAATCAGCACCTCTTAAAGGTAGGTTTGTTGTAGTTTTTGTGTATCAGTGCACATTAGTGAAGCGCTTGTTGGTGGTAGAAAGGGAACTTCCCCAGTATGCTCTGATCTAAATTATAGATATCTAAATATACAAACATTCAACTCAGGAATGGTGGGTGTTAACATATGCTGTGGCTCTGTTTGGAAGGGATCTGACAACTCCACATGCTTCATTAATTCTTCAGGTGTATAATGTCTTGAGGGCATTTGCAGTCACCTTTGGTTTAGAAAGCTCTTATAATAAATGATAGAACACATGATCAGTTTATTAACCATGAAGCACATGCCAACGTGCCTGAACATTACATGAATATACTGTTTCCTGGATGAAATGAAGTGATCTCCAGGACTTATGTAGCACAGACCTCAGTCTCACAGCTCACTGTAATGTGAATAACTGGTTCTATTTTCAGTATTTTCAAAATTAGGTCCAGCTACCTTTTCAAGCTTCCGCAAAGGTTTTGTTTTCATTTACACTTCAGTTTCAGGTTTTCCTAGGCAACAAACTTATCCAAGATGGCAAGTAACAGCACGTGATTTTCTGTTTATTTAAGACACATTTATTCCAATCAGATAAATGACTTTATAAATGGTTTTTGTTGTGATTAATGTGGATAAGGAAGCAAAATATTTCACCATAAAGAAAAAAGGCAAGTTACAACGTGCTGGATAATTTGATATGGATGATTATTGTAGTTAACTCTGGAGTGGAATGTTCTACATGACTTGAATAAAGGATTCAGAGAGGATTATATATCAGTAATATTGTATATTTTTATTGCTCTAAAATGGTTTAAAAGAGTGATTTCTTTTTAATAAATAAATAAATAAATATATAAATAGGCTTCTTTGTGTTTAACTAAATGAAAGGATGATAAGATTACTATCAATTTTTAACACTAATATCAAGACATGTTAATTTTATTTTATGCATTATCAATATACTATATGATTATATAATATTATTAGTGCTGTCAATCGATTACAAATATCTAATTAATCACACATATTTTCTAAAATTAATCGTGATTAATCACAATTAATCCCACCTAACATTAAAGTTTTTAAATATACTTTTATATTTCAATAATTTCACATTCAATCTTCAAATTAATGTAGAAACAACATTAAGAAATTTATGTTTCTAGGAAATTTTTCTTTTTTTCCTAATATTTAAAGGGGTCATCGGATGCCCATTTTCCACAAGTTGATATGATTCTTTAGGGTCTTAATGAAATGTCTATACTATACTTCGGTTAAAATTTCTTAATGGTCGTGTAAAACAGCACCCTTTTAACCTGTCAGAAACAGCTCTGTTCACAGCAAGCTGTTATGGTGCATTTCCCTTAAAATGCAAATTAGCTCTGCTCACCCCGTTCCTCTCTTCCGAGCCGCTCTCTGAGATACTGTAAACTTTAGCCGCATTCATCTTGAAACTGGCTAACTAGCACATTATTAGGAAAGGCGATTTGCAAAATTCATAAAAAAAATCTTATACACACTTCTTCTGTAGGTGAGGCTGGATCAAGAATGATTTGTGCGAACATAGACGCATTTAGGTAGATCGGGGCGCATTTCCTTCAGAAACAAAGGTAATCCACTGCGTCTTCAGCGGCTCAGATGTCGGGAGTAAATGACGACTGCTATGTTCATTATTACATCCAACAACAAAACACCTCAATTGCTTAGGAGACACTCTTTGTGTAAGGTCTGTAGATCTTAGTCAGGGTGGCACCATATTTAATTTTTAACAGCAATGAAAATAAGGCTGCGAGGACTGAAGAACAGTGTGTTTAATAGATTATGCTGTTGTTTAACCACAAACTGATTGCTTAGGTGACAAACAAAACCTCTACCTGGAAAATCGAAACAATACAAAAACTTTAATTAACGAAAACTCCATAAAACAGTTTTTAAAAGTTTTGAGTTGCCAAAAATTTTTACTGTCATCAATTACTGTCATTACATGACTTTTTCTGTCATTTATTTTGTTTTATAATCGAAAAAGTACAAATTCAAAATCCTTTTATGGATATTTATTTTATTCAGACCATTTGCATACTACTTCTGTATTACTTCTGTTTACATGTAAAATAAAAAAATAAATCTTTTCAGGGAACAATTTTTGTGTGTTCTCAGAAGCAGACAGACAGACAGACAGACAGTCAGTCAGACAGACAGACAGACAGTCAGAGAGAGAGACAGACAGACAGACAGACAGAGAGTCAGATAGAGAGACAGACAGACAGACAGACAGAGAGTCAGATAGAGAGACAGACAGACAGACAGACAGAGAGTCAGATAGAGAGACAGACAGACAGACAGACAGAGAGTCAGATAGAGAGACAGACAGACAGACAGACAGACAGTCAGAGAGACAGACAGACAGACAGACAGACAAACAGACAGTCAGTCAGACAGACAGACAGACAGACAGTCAGAGAGACAGACAGTCAGTCAGAGAGAGAGACAGACAGACAGACAGACAGACAGACAAACAGACAGTCAGTCAGACAGACAGACAGACAGACAGACAGACACAGACAGACAGTCAGAGAGACAGACAGTCAGTCAGAGAGAGAGACAGACAGACAGACAGACAGTCAGAGAGACAGACAGACAGACAGACAGACAAACAAACAGACAGACAGACAGACAGATAGATAGATAGATAGATGAATTCTTTTCTCATATATTCTCATATATCTCTTATATATAATGTGTTTCTTCTTTCTCTTCTCACTTTGTTTCAGGTCCGAAAGCATGTTAACGACCTGTATGAGGATTTGCGAGATGGACATAACCTGATCTCCCTGCTGGAGGTGCTCTCTGGTGACACACTGGTGAGTATCGCTCTGATTGAGCTGCTCAATGATAATTTCTTATCGTCTGCCAGCTGTTTGTGTCTGAAACTGAGAAGTGTGTTAAATGTTTAAGCAGTCTTGAAGCGGAATACTTGAACATGTGTGCTGTCACTCGCTGTAACATCACAGTGTTTTTGAAGGGGGCCATCCACACCAGTCCACATCTCTCTCTCTGTGTGTGTGTGTTACTAATCCAGCAGCCACTCACACTGATCAGCTTTGCTAAAAGTGATTTAACCAGTACCTGTACATTCATGCTTTACAGTAGCTAAAACACCTGTGCTAATAGTGTAATCTGTGAAAATGCATTTGTTTATTTACACACTAGTGTACGATGAACTTTTCAAATGCACACTATTATAGGAGTTTTGCATTATGCAAATATTTAAAATGATAGTATAGTTGTGTACTGTGTTATGATGCATTGGCTGTGAGCTGTGGAGGAATTCTCATTTAGTATCAGAGGTGCTGTAGTTCCCACACTCATGCCAGCAAATTACAGTATTCAACTCACATTTTAGAAGTCACTGAGAATTTGGTGAATCTGTGTTCTAATTTATATAAAAATGACTCTTCATTAATAAGGCTCTGAAAAAGAAGTGCGCTTTAGCATACTTTAGTGTGAACTCAGTGTAGTGTTTTCTGACACTTAATTGCATGATCAATTTAGTTAAATGAAAATGTGTTATAGTTTATGCAATTTATTTTAAAACTTTATTAAAAAGTAGATTTTTACATAATCAGTTCATAATCATGTCAATTGTCTTTTAAATATGGTTAAATGTACTGCTGAATGTACAGTACTGACAAGCATTTATGTTAAGCTAAAATACACTTTAATTGCATTTCTATTGAAAATTGTTTATCATGCATTTGAATATTTATAATTACATATTTGTAATAAAGTCACAATTTGGTACATAAAAAAAAAAACTTTAAAGAGGTCATGAACTTAGAAACCAAAATTCCCTTGATCTTTTGACATATGAAGGGGTCATTGTACTATAAAAACATCCTGTAAACTTTTTCGTTAGTCTAAAAACAGCTTATATTGAAGGCAGTCTGCCAAAACGACAGCTTGCGGAATGTGCCACTTTATGACATAATAGTGTGGATAAGCACTGCCTCATCAACGCCTGTTTCTACATCACTGCCTGTTTAGCTCCGCCCACCGATTCTACATCACTGCCTGTTTAGCCCCGCCCAACGATTCTACATCACTGCCTGTTTAGCCCCGCCCATCGATTCTACATCACTCCCTGTTTAGCCCCGCCCACCGATTCTACATCGCTACCTGTTTAGCCCCACCCACAGGTAGTGTAAATAACGAGAGAGGCTAACGCAGGTCTACGCAGAAACCAAACAATAAACTTTATTTAATGAACTTTATTTTTAATGACATCATCAGTCAGAACTCGGTCCTTTGTTCACTTTATTTTACCGTGGATTCGTTTACAAACAAGGCACTATACGACACAGTATTTTCAGAAAGATTGAAACTAAAAGACGATGCTG